GCAGTTACCGGAAGCCAGTGAAGGGAGCGGAGGAGCGGAGTGGTGTGGGAGAATTTAGGAAGGTTGAAGACCAGACGAGCCGCTGCATTCTGGATGAGCTGCAGAGGTCGGATGGCACATGCAGGTAGACCAGCCAGGAGGGAGTTGCAGTAGTCTAGGCGTGAGATGACGAGAGCCTGGACCAGAACCTGCGTCGCTTTCTGTGTCAGCTGGGGACGTATCTTCCTGATATATCAACAGTTTAGGTGAAAATGTGGATGAAGCTACTTTACATTTGTATGCGGATGATACCGTGATGTACTGTGCAGGTCCCTCCATTAAGGAGGCTGGTGTTAAATTACAGGCTGTTTTTAACATTATTCAGACTCAGCTCTCTGAGCTTAAGCTTATTTTAAATGTTGATAAAACCAAGGTAATGCTATTTTCAAAAGCTAAAAAGACTCCAGAGACTGCTTTGGATATTGTTACTATGCAAGGACAAGTACTTGAAGTGGTTACCTGTTATAAATACCTAGGTATCTGGCTTGATGATTGTCTTACTTTTATACTTCAGGTCATTAATCTGCTTAAACAGCTGAGGGTTAGACTAGGTTTCTTTTTTAGAAACAAGTCCTGTTTCTCTTTTGAAGCCAGGAAAAGGCTCTGTGACCTTTTGACCTGTGCTGGACTATGGTGATCTGATCTATATGAATGCACCTGCCCATTGCCTGGAAAAGTGCTAGGACTGTCTTAGGGAAGAAAGCTTTTAGTTGTGCAGCTCCACTAAATTGGAACAGTCTGCAAACATGTTTCAAACTGAGCACTTTGGTTTCCCTGCATCATTTTAAAACTCAGCTGGGTGACATGCTGTTTGATACTCATGGTACCTGTCTCTGTAAATAGAGTTTGTAAACTGTACCCTGTACATTATGTTGTATGTCATCCTTATTGTTGTTCTGTTGTTTTTATGTTACATGTGTAACTAATGTCCTGCAGGTCACCCTTGAAAAAGAGATCTTTTGATCTCAAGGGGCTTCACCTGGTTAAATAAAGGCTACAAACAAACAAATTCTGTGATACAGTGCCAAAGTATAGTTGGTTTGAAAACAATAGTTCTCATGAAAGTACATTGTTTGATTTTGGTCAACTGTCAAGCTTATGCTGTTTGTAAAATCTTTTTTCAATAAATGGTTGCAGCACCTAACTATAATCACAAATTGTACTGTTACCATTCGTTATCCAGATTCAACTAAATAACTCATGTGTTCAAAGGTGAGCTTTAGAGCTGTGGATGGGTATATTTTTGAACATTGGACTAGCTGTTTTCATATTGCTAGAATGTATGCCAGATCTAAGCTCTTAATGCACAGGCAGCCTTCTGATCTCAATAAGAGTTAGCCAAAATGAGAAACTATAACATTTAACACGGACAAGAGGTTTTTTTCTTGTCTGATTTACTGAAATATCTTAAACACAATGATGTCCTGCTTTAACCTGATCAAAGTGTGTCATCTGATGTAACAACTGGTTAGCCAGGCTGCTAACATCACTACATTAAAAGATAGAGATGTATGCTTTTATTTTATATGAAAACATATGACTTTTTTTGCGGAAAATACATTCTGACAGGCAGTGGTGGAAAGTAAGTACATTTAGTTAAGTACTTTGTTTGTACTTTACTTAAGTATTTCCATGTATTGCTACTTTATACTTCTTATCTGCTACATTTCAGAGACAAATATTGTACTTTTTACTCCAATTCATTTATTTGAACACTCACAGTTACTATTTACTTTTGTACATATAAAAACACAGGATATGCTGAAACAGTATACTGCAGTACTGTAGTACTAATCTACAAAGTATTTCAAGTATTTCAATTTGGTCCACATTGACAGACTACATCCCTAAAATTACATTAATAAAATCGGGATAAAAAAATAACCACGATAATATAACACTGTGAAAATATCCCTTCTGCAACTAGTACTTTTACCTTTGATGCTTGAAGTACATTAAGCTGATAATACTGAGTACCTTATCATTCTCAAATGGTGCATTGTGCAGAATGAGTACTTTTACTCAAGAACATTTTTGAAATATGGACTTTGCTTCTCCCAATACGGCTGACAATCAACAATGCACTTGAGGTGAGTGAGTCCACTTCTTTTTAAGTAACCAAGTCTTTCAGTCTGATCCTGTCAAGCCCTTTGTATGGACGTGTGGAAGTACAGGAAACATCCACTGCTGCTCTTTTGACGCGGTGGCTGATTCTTTTATTGATGATATTATCCTGTTGCTGCCACTGTTGCTGTTCTTTCTGGGATTGACCCCATTTGGCATTCAGTCTAAATGTGTTGGTCATACCGATAACCAACTGTTACATACCACTCACACACGTGCCACTACAACAATGGTAGCATACCTTCAGCCACTTGTTAATCTCAGCGCTGCTGCAGAAAGCCCACCACAACCTCCTCCTTACACCCCCCAGTCCCAACCCAGTTATTTGAGCCGGGGACACAGAAAATAATGGATCGAGAGAAACACATTTCCTCTGCATGGTAGGGCATTGCTCAACTCAAATTGCCCTTTTTGGATGTCAATTTTCTTAACAACGCTGCCACAACAGAGCTGGGAGAAGTACTCAGATCTTGTACTTGAGTAAAAGTAGAAGTACCAGAGTGTAGGAATACTCTGTTACAGTAAAAATCCTGCATTCAAAATGTTCCTCAAGTAAAAATAGAAAAGTATTCTCATCAAAATATAGTGAAAGTAGCGACAGTAAAAGTAGTCATTGTGCAGATTGGTCCATTTCAGAATAATATATATGATATGTTTTATAATGATTGATCATGAAAGTGTTCTCAAAGCTGGTAAAGGTGCAGCTAGTTGGGGTGGTATTATGCTTAACAATCTCATAGAATTACAGTGGACAGAATGAGTTAACCACTAACTGTTAATGCATTTTACAAGTGCATGTAGTGAAAGTTATCCCCCCTCACCCAACACACACACACTAACACTGGTCGCAGCTGGACGTCCGATAGGACTTTGACAGATGGTCCAATGGGAAGCTGGATAGGGAGGGAGGGAGGGAGGACACAGGAGCTAAAGAAAGGGATGGATGGAGACTGGAGAGGAGGGGACAATGCTAATGGATGCAAAAGTGTGTGTGTGTGTGTGTGTGTGTGTGTGTGTGTGTGCGTGTGCGTGTGCATGTGCGTGTGTGTGTGTATGTGTGTGTAGGAGGGGAGTCATCTGCCTCTGAAAGAATGGAAGAATAAGAATCAGGGTTATAAACCTCATGAGAGGAAAGGGGGGAACCTGCAGTCCTGCTGACGCTGCATTTGGCCTTATATGGGTTTTCAGAAATGTGCATGTATTCAGACACACACAAACACACACTTGCTGTGGCACTTCATTCTGGGTAAGTTACCTTAAGTTAATTTTACTGCAATGTATAATAAAGATCAAGCTTCAATTGAACAAAATCAATTAACATGACATGAGTTCCATTCATGATTCATGGAAAGTTGATTGGATCACCTGGCTGCACTTTGTGATGGTTAGTGTTTTAATTAAAGACACAAAAGGGTTCTGTAGACTACTGCTCATTCTGATTGGTACGTATGACAACTAATATAACTATGTTTCTCCTGAAATTCCCAAAAGAAAAGGCGATGCATTCAATATGCAAGCACAGACCCCGCCCCCATGGTACTTGTCAGAATTACTCTCGTTATGAACACGCCCCTTCAGCGTCGCTCCCTCGCGCTGCTGTCCCCATGGCTGCACCCTTCCGAGAACCAGGTAGAACTTCAACTGTTTCAGACGACTTCCGGTTGCAACTGTCAAAATAAAATTTGAAAAAGGGGACAATGCTTTGAAAAGCTAGTAAGGATTTACTTTACTTTTGTTAATAGTTTTTCATTGTAAAATGTAAACAGGAACTTAAAATATTGAAGCTCTGATTTTTCCTGATATTTAAGTTATTTGCCAAACCACAGGCCACTGCATTTTAACTGTATGTTGCTGAAAATTACAGACAGTGACCGAATTATAATGTTTTGTACTACAGTATTACAAGACATATTCGAGAAAACATATTTTAAACAGCCCCCCCCTCCTTAATCTCTATTTTGTATCCTTACAGCGTGGTTAAAAAACCCACAAAGGTGCTCTAGGTGGAGATTCAGGTGATAAGGGGGGGGGGGGGGGTTACCTTGGTTGGTTATTGGTTAATGCCCTGGCCAACTTGTGGCCCCACGCAAAGTTATATGATGAGGCCCTCTGTGTCGCGAGCGTCGACAGGGGGGACGGGCGGTAGTGGAGCCTCGCAGCGGCGAAACTGTGGCGCGCTTACACTGTAGGTGCGCTGCATTTGCGCTTCAGATGAGGCTCCCTCCGCAAAATGAAGCACCCTCAGCAAGCTGAGGCCCCCTCCGCAAGCTGAGGCCCCCTCCGCGAGGTGAGGCCCCCTCCGCGAGGTGAGGCCCCCTCCGCGAGGTGAGGCCCCCTCCGCGAGGTGAGGCCCCCTCCGCGAGGTGAGGCCCCCTCCGCGAGGTGAGGCCCCACGCAGTCTGCGTGATGGGCCTGGAGGGAGGGGCGGCCCTGGGCTAATGGTTACACAAGACCAAAAACGTTATGACATCACAAAGTGACCAAAATCTGATCAGCTCATTTTCAGACAGGATTTTATGTAAATGGCTCAGAACAAAAGTTGAGCGAATCTTTGTTCCTGAAACTTTCAGAATGTCTTTACAAAGGGGACACATGTTGATGTATAAAAGACATGAGAAAGTGGATTTTGCATAATAGGTGACCTTTAATTCAGTTGTTAATGTTTTTTTCCATTTGCTTTTGGGCCGTGTACAGAGCTTTAGTCAATTTTGTTAAAAACGGTATGAAAACTGTTCATCAGAGGAGGGATTTTCTGTTTCTCTTTAATTGGCAAATGTTGGACTTTTACTTTGAAGGGAAATTATGGCGTTCCTGTAATATTGTTGCGAAATGTGCCAGCTTGACGCAACTTCCTGAAAGATTGACAGCTTGAATCGCTCTCCTTTACGAGTGGAAACGATAGCTCCCGTTGTGTGAGAGCCGCTATCACAACTCACGGCGCCACCTTTCCTCGGATTTTACGTTGTACTTTTAAAGAAGTTTACAGGAAGCGTTCTCAGGTTGGAGTTTATGACAATACTCGGGGTATGAAAGTGGAGCGGGCGCCTGAAACAAAGTAAAAGAGGAGGTTTGATGGCTGCTGGGGATGGAGCCCAGCTGCCTGCCACCGTAGCGGCCAGCCGGAGCGTGGAGAAGGCGCTGGAGGAGGCTGCTGCTAGCGGGGCTCTCAACTTGTCCAACCGAAAACTGAAGGAGTTTCCCCGCAGTGCCAGGAACTACGACCTGTCCGACATCACACATGCAGGTCAGTTTGCATTGCAGTGTTTTATTCAACTAACAAAGCAGCACGAGCAAGCTAGCTGTTCTAATGAGCACCGTCTTTTGTTTTATCGCCACCTGCTTCTTTCTTCTAACGGAGAACCCTTCCTCAGCCCGACACGTTTCACGAGACTCCCTCAGTAACTCCGTAGCCCGCTGTTCCCCTGCTGACTGTCACAACGGTACACCTCGTCAATTATGAATTACGTCTTCTTTCAGTATCACAACATCCCTATTATTTCGGCACGTAGATACCCTGTCAAACTGTTTTTAAATCGGTACGAATCTTTAAAAAACGCCCCATGAGTCTTCTTTCAGCAAACTGCAGTTTTAGCTCAGTGTTAGCATGCAATATGCCTCGTTATTTTTTAAAGAATTGCCCTTGCCTGGAGGTTTCGTTTAAGGTGTAAACAAGGCAGCATATAAACTACTCTTTAAAATGTCACATAAAGTTCCAGCTTTTAAAAGAAGCGTCGCGTGCTCTCTTAAAGTGGATTTAAAAGAAAAAAAAGCCAGACTGAGTTCCTCTTCCTCACATTAGCCGCTGAAACATGTCTACATTGATAATGTCAGGTCTTGTTGGTTTTACTAAAAGCTTAGTTCTCCAGAAATCGTGTTATTCACAGTCATACTTTCTTGGCTTTTACAGTGTTTTTTTGTAGTTTTTGAGCCAATAGTGAAACCACATGGCAACCTTCTAGCAACCAGCCCCTCAATGTGTGCCTTTCACTTCATCCCCACTGACACTAAGCATTCCTATCAACATTATGCATTTCATGTAAACAACACATTGTTCTTTTTAACACTGTGAGCCAAGTTTCATGTTAATCTGGATATATATTTTTCCTCTGTAAAAACCTGCGCAGCCCTACGCTCTAAAATATAATTTACTGCATCTATTCATTTTACTACGTTTTTTTTGTTTCTTTTTATATATTTATATTTGGTGTAAATACTTTCCTAATTTTTTGTATTTTGTTAAATATATATCTATTTTTTATATTTTCTTTTTATGATCGTTGTATTTATGACCTCTTACAACTTATTTCCTTATGTTATTTATTTGTGCACCACCATACACTAACGCACATTCCTTGCATGTTTAAACGTACCTGGCGATTGTAGTTGAGCTAAATTGCCCAGGACATTGTAGAGAGAGCTTGAGAACACCAACAGAGAGTAAAACTGAATAGTGAAGTAGGTGTGGATGACACTGTGGATTAAAGGGAACTACCTTGCCCTCGCCTTGTTGAAAATAGGATTACCCCATCCAGGTTGCTGAAATCAATCTGGCTACACAGGGATTTAAAGCAGCACCCCCTATCCTCCGTCACTGCTCTCCGTGCTCTGGTAATTATGACCATCTGCTCATAACAACCCAGGTCTAGGCCCTGTGGGAAGACAAGGCCTTGAACACACGCAAACACACACAGGCACCTGCCGCTGGAGCAACCCAACCCTAATGACTATGGAGGTGATGAATACAATTAATACTTTGGTAATGCACCTGATTAGGATGTGTTTATTCAAGCACAGGTTCTTGGATAAACTAATGTTATCCGGCTTTGCAGGTCAGTAAAAGATACAACTGTGGTTGATCGTTGATGTTGTTAGGTTTAAAGGGACACTCATATAGTACAGTTTAATCAGAATATTTAACACTGTGCCTGTGAAAAAAGATGTCTGTCTTTGATGGATCTGGAGGGGCTTCTTCTGACCAAATAACCCTTTTGCATTAAATGTTTAAACAAACAACCGTTTGTTTTGGGTTCATGAAAGTTCATTGTAATATTTTGGTTGCCTAAAAATGTTAGTGTTGTTGTTCAGCTTTCAGTTTTACTTGGCCTCATCTCGTGTTACTTATGGTTCCAAAAATCAAGATGGCTATGGCCAAAATGCCAAACTGGAGGCTGTAAAAAACAAACAAACTGTATTCCACAGATCTAGGGTGATACCATGGTGGCTACGTCCACTCCTTATATAGGGATTCAGTTAATGGTTTGCAGACTGTTATCTTATAGGGGTCCTAGTGGCACACACAAGAATGAGGAGCAGGTTAGTGTCAAGCTGTATGAAGCCTTTGGAACAGTGGACATTTTGGTTTGTCAAACACAACAAACTATTAATACCATGAATTCAATATGGCTGCTTTTCATTTCGATGTGCCCTGGTGTTGTACACACTGGCACACTTACAGTTGTACTTTAAAGGAACACATCCCTCATTAATGCTATACTTCCACCTGCCATTTGTGACAGGGCTGCGTAGATGTTTCCATGGCAGACATGTTGACATGACTTAGCAGAGAATGCAAAGGTGTTCATAATTACATTAATAATGGCTGCATTTCCTTTTGTGAGTTCCAGTTCCAGGGTCTTGCCTCTCTGTTGTCGATGCTTCATTACTTCCATGGCTTAGTCGAATGAAGCCATAAAGCTTATAAATGTGCTTTTTTCTGCTTGGAACTATTTTAATTCTGAACCTCAATCACTAATAATAACCTATGATTCAAATAAGGCCAAGTTGCTTTAAGTGTGGCAGATGTTATTTCACACAGATATTAGAACATGGAAGCTTGTCTTCTTTTACCTTTGAAACAGTATATTTGAATAATACAACTTACTGGCTCTTTTGGAGCTTTCAACTGCATCTTGCATGATTATTATTATTATTTATTTGTTGTCCCAGAGGACTTAAGAACAAGCACATGTTTGTATTTCTTAAATATATTAAGAAGCTTGAACCAGTAAACTGTTGGAGTAAAATGTTGTGTAAAAGTAACTGCCATAAAAACACTTTGAAGCAAGAATAAGTTACTGTTGGCATATCTAAGGACGTGTCATATTCTGAAGGAGAATCTTTTATGTTAATTTAAGATAGAAAAGTCATACATTCTACAGGGATGTCAGATAAATGATCATAGAAAGGATGAGTTCATTTGAAGCAGCCTTTGATTCATGGCCACATTGAACAGCTGCTGACATCACCTTGGCTCATGGAGACATTTTGTTGTTAATTTAGCTGTAATTGTTGGGTTAGCTCCTCTATAGACCCATTGTAGATATTTAGTCTTGAATACATGTTTTTGCAGCACCCAGGTGTGTGTCATTGTGGTAATGTCTAGTATGTGGGTAATGAGGTGCTCTTAGTTTCACTGAGACACCTGGTAGTTATGCCAGACAGACGTTATATCAGCTATGAGATGCAGCAGAGTAGCTGACGTGTGTGTGACAGTGCTTTCTGATTCACCAAACTGTCAGGATGGTTGTCGGATATAGTTTTGCCATGGATCTAATCTAATCCTTTGAAAATGAAGGTGGAATCTGCGGCTTCACAGTCGCATGATATATCAAGCTAATACCTAATAAGCATTTGCGAGTCTTCCTGCAATAACAAAAATGGTAACACTTTTAAATGAAAGAAAAGAGAACAATTGCTAATTCAATGGTGATTCCTAAAGTATGTATATTTGGTCTGTGGCGAATGACATCCTCTCAGAACATAGCAGCCAGAATGAAATGAAGGTATAACAAAGAGCTTCACACCGGTTTGAGGTTAATTAATTGTCACAGGATTGCCCAGCGGAAGGCATTTTCCCCGGCTTGTTGGTGCAGAACACGGTCCGCTCATTTAACAGCCCTCTCCGGGATGCCATGATGGAGCCAGGTCTCTGCAAGATGTGGCACAAAAGCTTTGGATCTCCCATTGCTGAGTCAGTCCTATTGAATTCATGATTCCACTTTCCTGCAACCGGACATTAGCCAGGATCAGGCTGGGTAGTGGATCAGGCTGGGTAGTGGATCAGGCTGGGTAGTGGATCAGGCTGGGTAGTGGATCAGGCCAAAGTAGGCCAGCCTTCCTTTTATCCCGGCTCTCTTCTCGGGGCAACACAGCCAATGGCATTTTGTCCTGCTGGAGATAGCCTTAAATGATGGTTTGCCTTCACACTGCAGGAACTGTAGTAGGAACAGCTGAGAAAGTTGTCTAGGGCAAAGTTTGCAAATGGTACCTGCTAGGACCTGAACGCTGAAAACAACCCTAACCCTTTGGAAATCATAATAACTGAGTTGTTGTCTGAAACTTATGCTCATTTGATAATTGTTTTGATTTATTACTCAATGATTAATCATTAAGTTAAATACTTTCAAAAGCTATTGCAGATCCCTAAGGCCCAAGATGACTTTTTCAATCCAAAGATATTTTAGTGTACTATATCAGACACAGCTTTTTTCGGAATTCCAATTTAATCAAACTGTCATGATGTCTACTGCTAGTGTACATTCAGTAGATAAAGGGAAATTAATTTAAGCAATGCTATCTGGCCTCCTGTCTAGTGTTAGTGTCCAGTATTACTTCTTATTTTACTGTAGCTCTGTTTTGGTCTCCACCGACTCCTGATCAAAATATGTCTCATTGCTGCCACATTTTTAAGCAGACACTTGTTAACTTTGTCTCTTTTGTTAAGTGATGTTCAGGTAGCATACAGTCAGCCAGTTTAAACTAGTTTGCTGTAATGTGTTATCCATGGGTTAGGGTAGATGATTATAGTGACACTCTGTCAACATCATCGCATCATTGGGACGGGTGGCGCAGTGGTCTGTGCATCTGATCATCAGATCAAGGGGGGTGCTGGGGAACTCCAGTTCGAAACCCGCTCCTGCCGCCACTGCGTCAGGCCGTTGTGTCCTTGGACAAGACACTTCACCCGGATTTGCTCCTGTGGGTATTGTCCACAGTACATGTATGATACTCATGTGTACTTGTAAAAGCGCCTCGATGACTTCGAGGCGTGAAGATGGACGGTGTGGCGCAGTGCGCTGTGCAATGATCATCAGATCAAGGGGTGAAACCCGCCGCTGCTGCGTCTGTAAAGCCGTTGTGTCCTTGGGAAAGACACTTCACCTGAACTTGCTCCTGTGGGTATTGTCCACAGTGGTGACCATTGCATGTATGATATGTGTAATGTGTATTTGTAAAGCGCTTTGA